TGAAAACTTTTTTGTGCTAACATAATCAGCATTGATTGTAGTATCTACAAATATAATTCATTGTAGTCGAATCTAATTTTATTTTACCCTTCCATAGGTTAACATGCAAAAATAGGTCATTTTTATTCTGTTATTGCATACAAACCTGAAATGCTATCATGATGGTTCTAAGTTTGTGCAACACTGTGACATCTCCTTTATCCACCCTTAACCCCCACCCCTCCCTTCTATTACCACAATAGCAAATAAGTATGGGTTCCGAAAATTACCCATTTTCCAAAAAAAATAATCACGTGACTGAAAATATATTTATGCTATAAAATTTTCCCGATATGGCTCTATATATGTGTGAAGCAACACTAGTGTCACGTAAGCGGTTCCCGAGTAATCGCCAAATTCCGACGGCCAAATTTTTTTGAGGACCCTTATATAATGAAACAAAAACCGGAAATTTTAATAATAAGAATATATTAAATTTATTTACACAATATCTATCTGGGTTATTATTATCAGTGATAATTTATCACGATCATAGTCACTAAAAACAACATTGCAGTTATTATAGATAATAGTAGTCATGTGTATATTATTATCATCATTGTAATTGAGAATCAATTTTGTGATTAAAACAAACATTTATTTAATTAGATTAGTTTTAAATTGACTTTTAAATCCTCAGAGAAGACATGAATCCCAAATACTAACTATATTCATATGAAATGAATGAGTATTTATATGGTTTAAATACTGCCGACAATGATATCGATAATTAAATTAATCATAAAATTGATATCTCTTTGAATTATATTTACAATTTATGTAATTTAAAAAATGGTTACATAGATTTCAAGTTTTAATTGTAGTTTTCATAACTGATTGATGAAAAAAGTTACTACAAAATCATTATTCATTAAATAACAAAATGAAAATCAACACAATTAGTGATTAAATGGATTGAAATTAAACAAACGATTCATTAATAATCGTATTTAAAACAGTATTAACCTATCAAACTATTAATAACTATGGAAATTGGTTATTATAAAAATGGCACTATTTAAATCATGGAAACTTTATTTATGCGATATGTTACAACAAAACTATTTATATTAATCACGTGACAATCGATTATCATTTCCATGCGTTTTAACATTCAATACATTCACTCATAGTTTTCAGTCAACTCTTGTTTGCGGACACAAAGGCTTACGACGAAAGCACAGAGACATGGATTCACTGCCACTCAAGACGTTTGACATAAAATTGACAGACATTTGGGTCTCGACTCAGAAAGAGTTGATTGCAATGAAGGCTCAAATAATTGGATTAACTAATTGTTTGACTCAATCGGAAACAAATGCAAACCATTTGTTGGAAGCGAATGTACAGCTCATCCATAATCTTAATCCGTTTGTCAATGAGATGCCGGCCATTAAGCCATACATTGATCTCTCAGTTGACGCACAAAACGCTATTCAACCAGAAATGGATCGTTTGAATGAAATGAAGGTATCAATGGTTACGACAAACTGTGGACAAAATGTCGAGCAATTGATCTACAATTGGAGACAATGCGTGACCACAAGAGACCAATGCATTCAAACTAATGATGAATACGAAGAGTCTGTGAAGACATCCATTGAAATAAACGACAATTCTTTGACAAGAAATGAGACAATTGGCGAAGACTTGATTGACGTGAACAGTGATGACGACAATTGCGAACCAATGATAACAACAGAAAATATAGATTTGGAGACATTTATTGACGAGAGAAGTGTTGTCTGGAGTAGTGATCACTCAATAGATGTTAGTTTCAACTCAACGGCCGTTACTATTGATGACAATAATGACTGCAAGAGTGAAATGTCGGCGAACACGACTGACATCGACAGAAGTAGTGATGGTATCACTGATGGGACGCGTCAAACACGGGTCAGACCCGCGCCCAAGAGTTTGGCCACAATTAAGAGCCCATCAGTGAGACGACCGAAACGGCGATCAGCCGATGGGTTACACGCGTGCGATTGGCCGCAGTGTAAGTACACCACCAAAATCAGTCAAAATCTGGTCCATCACAAGAACGCGCACAACACTGTTAAGCCATACATCTGTGGTCAGCCCGGGTGTAAGTACCGGGCAACATGGCGCTCAAATGTGCTCGTTCATATGTCGAAACACACAAATGAGTATTATTCGTATCGAGCCGTACCTAAACGCACACTTCAATCACAATTGGCCGCAAAACGGGATCGACTCTACACTATCAACAGCACGTGTGATAAGCCATACGCGTGTCAGTGGCCCGACTGCACGTTCGCCACCAAACATAGCGCGGTATTTACTGATCACTATAACCTTCATACAAACGCTAAGCCATATGTGTGCGATCGGCCCGACTGTCACTTTAAGACAGGATATAAAAGTTCTTTGTCTAGACANGTGGCCCGACTGCACGTTCGCCACCAAACATAGCGCGGTATTTACTGATCACTATAACCTTCATACAAACGCTAAGCCATATGTGTGCGATCGGCCCGACTGTCACTTTAAGACAGGATATAAAAGTTCTTTGTCTAGACATAAGTCACGCAAAAGTCATAAATAATTAGTATTTGTAAATTCAGTTGTATTGCATGTATCACACAATTAATATTGTTTAACACATTTTTGATTTGTTTTGTTGTCATTTATATAATATGACTCTTAATTCATTGTAATTCAAAATTTTTAATACTTTTTTTCTTAATTTACTTAACTTATGTTACTTTTCGTTTCATTCAAATGATATTTCAATTTAATTTTGTTTTTTAAATATAATGACTGTATATTTCAATGCTTTTATTATAAATTATATTAAATTAATATTATTATATAAAATTATTAAATTATTATAAATTAATATTAAAGAAATTTTATTAACAATAAAAAAATCATATTAATATTTTATGTTTAATAAATATAAAGTATACAGTATTATATAACTTATATTAACACATATAAATTATGTTTGATTATTATAATAGCTGTTTAGTTAATTTGTTAATTAAAATTAATTAAAAGTAGAAATTCTTATTAACTGGTTAATTGTTAAAAGTTATAACATCTCATAAATAGTTTCTTCAATAAAAATAGTTTTGTTATAGCATCTCATAAATAAATTTTGGGAGCGAACTATGTTATAAACCACATTATTCATACTGAATTATGATTAAAAATTTCTAACTATAATAACAACTTATCAAACAGTGAATAGTATTACATGAATGGCATAAATATGAGTTCCAGATATTAGATAACATAGTATTAATTAACTTAAGATTCCAATTTGTCTCACCAAGGGTAAAATATCAATATAGTAGTGGGTTATATTATAATATTTCTAATTCAATATATTGATATAATTAGAAATTCTATATTACAATAGAATTTAAGATGTTACTGTATAATGAAATAAAACAGCATAAATAAAATTTATTAATATTTATTTACACAATTTGAAGCTGGCTCATTATTATTACAATCATAATCATTAACAATAACATTGCCGTTATTATAGATAATAGTAGTCATATGTATATTATTATCATCAGCGCCTCTAGGGTGACCACCTTTGTCTACTTCATCGATTGTGGGCTCATCGTAAAAGTTTTTAATACGATTGGCCAAAAAAATGACCACCAAATCGACCAAGGCCCCCGTAAACATAAAACCAAATGCCGTACCATGTAAATAATAGCGAAATTTATCCGGGTCATACAGCCAACAGTTACCACGTTTACCGCACGTGTACTTCCAAACCAGACACGCCGAGTTCACAATCGCACCAAATATTAATGGGTAGGGAATGAAGGCTAGGATTGTATTTGTAAACCAGAAAAAATTTATTAAGTTAGGATTAATTAATAATTTTAAGTAAATTAAATTTTAAACCCATTACCGAATACTGCCATAAAAGTAGACATCATTCCCATCGCAAAACTCTTGTCTTTCGGATCGACTGATCTGTAAAAATGGTTCAATAATTAAATTATAACTAATTTGTAAAATAAATAAAATAATGCATTATTTAAAATACCTTAATATAATTAAATAAGTACCAGTCCTAGCGGTGGACGCTATCACAGAGCCCAACGTTAAAATGGACAGGTAGGGCAAAATTTTATTGCAACTACCAACGTCATTTTTGCAGTAACCTGTAGTGGCCGCACCACCAACACCATGATCACCTGATCCAATACAAGCGCACTCGGATAAAGTCTGTATTAATTTAAATGACAAATAATTTAAATACAGTTAAAATATAACTTTATGTTTTGATTAATAACCTTGTTGGGTCTGTCCAAATAGTGACACCCAGCATAACACGGCGAAAAATATGTGGTCACACCATCGGCCGCGCAGATTGGCGTAAATACCCTGGTAGTACAGTCGCAGCCCTGATTGCAACCGGCATTCATTGTGAATCTAGTTAAATATCATTAAATTATAACTAAATCACACAAAAATTCATTTACCATAATAAATTAGAACATTAATTAAATTACTCGCTATTGCTGGCTCCATAATTGCCAATGTTGAGCGAGGGACATTTTATAAACATAGCGCCTAATTTACCACCACAAGATAAAAACTCGACCAAAACCATATAGATAATTAACCATCGGGGTCGTGGTTTAAACCAAGTGATAGCAATACCACCTAACATAATACCCACTGCCATAGCGGGTACGGTTGTCGTGCCGGTCAGTAGTCCGGCGCCGGCACTGGTTTGATGAAAGTGGGACTCAAGGTATTTGCTTTTGAATATATGGTAACCCCCGTTACCGATATAGCGGAGGGCAGTGGCTATCAAGTGAAACATTAGTATAGGATTACGGGCCAAACGTTTGACCGCCGCTATAGTGCCTATTAAGTTGCATAAATAATTATAATGGTTATTTTTATTATGTAAATTTTATTATTTATTATGTATTTTTATTAATATTATTGAAGTTATAATTGCCTTCTAAACCCTTAACGTTGTCCTTTAGATCCCGGGCTTTTACCGACGCTGATTTCAATTGTTTTGGAAATAGGAACATGGGCAGAGAGACAAAAAATAACATGATGCCTATAAGCACAAAACCAAGCCACCATGCGCCAATAAAGCGCGGATCCATTCGCGATATACCAGGATTATCTGTACAATACACAAATATGTTAAAATGAATATATGAGACAAGTTAATAAAAGTAAACGTAAAATTATTTTAACACTATTTACAAAAAGGATCTTCGTAATAGCGCAATGTGATCGAGGTTAAAACGTAACCACTGGCCGGGCCCACCAGTTTGAGCGCCGATATGAGCGATAAATAGATGGCTGAACTGCGTTTGCTTACACTGTCGTCCATATACGGCATACCGATCACAAAATATGCCGTAAAGCCGAGTCCACGCAGCGAACTGCCCACCAATAGCAACACTACGGCCGGCCATACCGTCCTGTGCTTATCACACGACCCCGTATTAAAGTCGGCCCCATTTGCCGGACACATCTCATAACGGGTCTCATTGCGGGCCAGTTTGGACAGCAGGTTGTCGTCGTGCAACAGGTGAGTGCCCGCGCCGTATATAAAATATGGCATAGCGTTGACAAAGCACGACAGGGCCACCACCAGCTCACCCGTGGCTATCATTCGTGGCCGATTGAAACGACTGCCCAAGTAGCCTACTATAGGACTCACCTAAACACAAATAAAAGCCTTATTATCATGATAGCAATGTTAGTACAGTGCAACCTCTCTTGGGGGAACTTCTCTTGGGGGAACCCCTCCTCATAGGGAACTGATTTGAAATTTACGTTGGATTTCCTATACTTATAATGTTAACATAACTTCTCTTAGGGGAACTTCTCGGTAAGGAATACCTCCCCATTAGGAACGGATTTATAGAGATTAAGATAAAATTTCCACTCCCCATAAGGAACAAAGATAATTATAAGCACATGATATGTAAAGTATTTGAAATATTCTCAAACCTAAGTCTTTAAACAAACAGATTTTCATTTAAAGTTTCATTCAATACTGTAAAGTTGTGATAAACACTACATTCATAGTTTGATTAGTGAATTATTATAATAGTGTAAATTAATTTGTTCATTTAATTGTTATAAAATGTCTCAACAAAACAATTAATTGATTTAAAGACTAAATATAATGAATTAAAAAACATTGAAAGACATTAATAAACAATTTTCAAATATTAGTCAAAAATAAGACATTTTTACTCAAACCTCCCTTAGAGGAACCCTCCCTATAGGGAACACTTTTGCCGTGCAACTGGCCGTTCCCTATGGAGAAGTTGCACTGTATTATATTAATATATGTTTAATAAGTTTAATATGTTTATAAATTTATTATAAAATTTAACTAAATAATTAAATTACTAAAAATATATTTGTTAAGTTGAAATTAAAACGATTTTGATCATTATAATATTTTAAATAAATGATGTAACGAAACTGACCATCATTTGCACAATATTGTCGGCAATCATTATATATCCGGCGATCGTTGAGTCAAAAGCAAACCGTCTCTCCAAAGTGCTCATAGAGGCAATCAAATAACTACCGGTCATGCCTTGGATTAGACCAATTAGGCTGAAATTGAATAGGAATACTGTGGGCCGGGCCAACACCTGTAACCATTGTGGCCGCCACGAGCCCACACCGCATAGCGTCACATCCGAGTCCATATCAGCGGTGCCATTGTCTCCCCTGTGCTCACACATGTTGCCCGATTGTTTGTCATCATGTTTATCATCCCTAATATTTAAATAGTATTATTTTATGGCAATAATTGAGACAACTAGGTTAATAGTTACAGATTATTGCAGTCCCACGAGTGTGTGATAAATTCTTTGATGTGTTTCATCGACGTAACAATTTACAATATTGCAAGATTTCTTGGTGAATATTCTTAGGTACAAATGTTAGTAACGTGGTATTGTGAATTTACCAAGACACAATTGCACAATCACTAATGTAAATAAATATTCTATCTAGGACAATTGGGTGTAATGTTTATTAAGTAATTTATTTATTAGCAAACAAATATTTTGCCATTTTTATTATTTGTTAGTTATTAAATTAAATGTGCTATTTTAATTTTTAAACATGGAACACTTAAATTAAATCACATTACAAAATGACATATATATGAATCTATCACAAGTTATGTGAATAATAGTTAAATTAAATATTTAACGTAAAATACCAGAAAACAGTATAAAATATTTATTCACATGTTCTTTTAAAATAAATGATCGAGACCATAAAGAATTTGTATGTTCAACATAATGTTTTTATTTTTATATAGACATCATACTGGTTATCTTGTAAATTCAAAATTACTATAATCACTTTCAATGGAAACTATACCAGCACATTACCGGCACCAGTACATTATTAAACAACTGCATATTTAATCATGATAAATATTGTTTTAGGCGCTGAATAAATTAATTCAGTACACTGTTACTCAATAATGAAGGTCGTATTTATTAATGCCCCGTTATGGTTTTCAAAGGATTATCTTTATATTTAATTTTTACAGTTTTGTAAAATGTACAAAATATATGGCATATGCCTGATAAATTTATTTAACAATAATTGTAAAGTAAATATTTAATTTTTATATTAAAACCATATAATTGATAAGTTTTAAAACTATCTACTCTATATAAATTACCGTATACAGTGACGATATCTCACACGCCCACCAGAATAGTATACCTGTCATTAACTATTTATTCATATGCTGTGCAAACCATTAGTTTATTTACCTAGAAATAATTATTTGTCATAATTATATGTGTACATTAGTGACTGCTTGATAATAATCTATTTATTGTGTAATACTTGGTACGGGAATTTCGTTACCGATAGGGTATGTGATTTAATTTTTATCATTTTACTTTAAAACATTTGATGATTTAATTATTAAACGATTTTAAATGAAATTTATTCATGACTTTAAATCAATTAACAAATTTTAAATAGTATATTGTTTATGACTTATATTAAATATATAATGTTTTTATTTTTGTATTATAGTTTGTAAAAATATTAATTTAATCTAATATATTAATCTAAATATTTATTTTAATAAATAAATGTCTTAAATATGTACACTATATAAATAATTTTATATTGTTAAGATATGAAAAATATGGTTATGTAATTTTATGCATTATATAAAGTTTAACATTTTGTACATTATTAATAAAAATTAAGCAAACAATTAATGTAAAGTATAGATTTGCTAGCATTTAAATCAACACAACTAAATAAAAAACAAAAATATAAGTTCAGTATAAAGAGTATATAATAATTATTAGACAAAACAATTAAATAATAAAAAGGTAAATAAGTTTAAACGTCGTTTAAATTAATCTCTTTAAGACCATTTTTACCCTTATTATTATTATCAAAATGATTATCGTAATTCGGATTAATAGCAGCAGCAAAGCCGGACATCTTGGTCATATGTATAACATTTTTGTCTGAATCTATTTGGTGATTTTTATCCAGGTCATCAATCTCCTTGTCGGGCTCGTCGTAAAAGTTTTTGATCTTTTTAGACATAAAAATAATGCCCAAATCAAATAGAGAGCCGACCATCATGAAAGCAAATGCCGAGCCGTGTAGGTAGTTTTTAAATTTATCCGTGTCATACAGCCAACAGTTACCACGTTTACCGCACGTGCGCTCCCATACCATGCAAGCGGAGTCTGTGATCGCACCAAATATTAATGGGTAGGGAATGAATGCTAGGATTGGGAATAAAAATTATATTTTGTTAAATATAGTAATTATTACATAAATTATAATAGATTTCATTAAACAAATTATTATTATTGTTATGGTTAGTGTAGTTAATAATTAATAATAGCACAATAATTACCAAATATAGCCATAAATGTAGACATCATTCCCATAGCAAAGCTCTTGTCCTTCGGGTCAACACTCCTGTAAATAATAAATATTATAATTAGTAAATTATTACAACAAGGTTACATTGAACTATCCCATGATAAATACCTAAGCGTTAATAAATAGTTGCCAGTCCTGGCCGTTGACGATATAAGCGACCCGAGGGTTATCACCAGTAAATAAGTATATAATTTATCGCAATTGTCTGAATCGCTCTGACAGTAGCCGGTGGTGGCAGTGCCCACCGTGTCAGGGCCTATACACGAGCACCCAGATAATGTCTAGGTCAATTTAAAGATGATAATTTCACATTGATTTAATTATGGTAAAAAATTATACTAAAAAGCACACCAACCCCAGCGACTCTATCTATGGTCTTACAGCCCGCATAACAGGGCGAGAAATACGTGGTCGATTGGTCAGCGCCCGAGCAAATCGGGGTAAATATACTGGTCGTACAATCGCAACCTTGATTACATTGGGCATTCATCGAGTATCTTGTTAGGTAAAATAACCAGATTAGACACAAATACCAGAATAAACATGTTCACACTTACTCGTTGTTGACTAACTGGGTTGGTGGTAACTGAAGGGGCGGGCAGCCCATAAACATCCCGGTAAAAATGCCCCCATTGGAGAATAGTTCGACTAAAAACATATAAATGACCAGGGTGCGAGGCCGGGGCTTGACGAATGTAATTAGTACACCGCCCAGAATAATACCCACAGCCATGGGCAGTATGCTGGTGGTGCCCGTGATGAAACTAGCCCCGGAACTAGTCTGCCTGTACATGGACTCTATGTACTTTGTTTTGAATATGTAATACCCGCCCAGTCCTATGTAGCGTATAGTACTGCCAACCAAATGAAACATCAGGATAGGATTTTTGGCCAACCGTTTAACCGCCTGTGCTGTTCCTGTAATAATAAGTTACATGTGGTTAATAATTGTTATGTTTTATTGCAATTAACCATAGGTTTAACATTACCTTTAAAGCCCTTGACATTGTCCTTTAGATCCTTTGCCTTTACCGTTGCGTTTTTGAATTGCTTTGGAAATAAAAACATCGGGATCGCCGCAAAAAACAACAGGGTACCGATCACTGTAAACCCAATCCACCATGCGCCAATAAATCTCGGATCTCGCCGTGTGACACCAGGATCATCTAATAGAGTAATATTAATTATGCGTTTAATTAATAATTATAATTACTTATGCTGATAGCTAGAACATTTAAAATAGGCTTACAAAATGGATCTTCATAAAAACGTAGGGACAGGGAGGACAGTAGGAAACCACCAGCCGGTCCAATAAGCCTGAGCGCTGTGATCAGGCTAATATAAATGGGCGAGTTCTTTTTGCTAACACTATCATCGATGTAAGGCATGCCGATCACAAAATAGGCAGTAAATCCCAATCCCCTCAGGAAACTGCCCGCCCATAGCAACACCACTGCCAGCCATACCGTCGAGTGCTTACCGCCCGAGCAGTCAATGTCGGCGCTGTTTGCCGGACACAACTCGTAACGCGTTTCGTTGCGGCCGAGTGTTGACAGCATGTTGTCGTCGTGCAAGAGGTGAGTGCCCGCGCCGTATATAAAGTAGGGCAGAGCTGTTGTGAAGCACGACAGGGCCAGTATCAGCTCACCCGTCGCTATCATTCGGGGCCGATTGAAACGACTGCCAAAGTAGCCAATTATTGGGCTCACCTTAGTTTTTAAAAAATATAATTGAGATTAAGCATTAGCGCCATTTATGATTATTATGAAAGTGCATGGTTATTTGTTTAAAAAAAATAGATCTACATTAATTTTTTGTTGTAGAAGTTAAAAGTGCAATTAAAAATTATTTGTATTAGTGTTTACTAATTAATAATTAGTGTAAAATAATTCAAATTTATTTTGATGAAAAAAGCATAATTAAAAAAATGTAAAAATATTGTGCAATTGTATTAAATATATTGATGACATAAAACACATGTTTAACTTAAGTATTGTCAGTATAAACATGTATTGTATATAAGATAGCTATTATTGCACTAAATTATAGATTAACATTAATTTGTCTGCTGTTAAATAAAGATAAATTTGTAATAACTGTATTTTAATTGTGTATTGGGGAAGAGCATAGATTGCTAAATGAAAATGATCAGGCTGATAATATTTATAATATAAATTCTTAATAATATTGAATTTATAAAAAGTAAAAATATATCTATTTCATAAATGTTGACTGATTTTTTAAGATAATAGTTTTCCTTCGTTTATTAAATTTTTAATTAAATTTTTAAAAATCAAATAAATTTAAAATAAGATTATTCAATGGAATACAATTACATCATAAATATAATTACATTTATAATATTGTTTTTGTCTTATTTTGTTTAAATTATTATTGAATATTAATTGGGTTTATAAACGTTAATATTTGTATACTCTATTAATCTAGTCTAAATATTGCATATCCTCTGAATTAATCTAGTGATAAGTTTGTTAAATAATATTAAACACAAATAGTGTTGTTCTCAATTATATTACAATCTAATTATATTATTTGCGGGGAGAGAGAGAGAGAGAGAGAGAGAGAGAGAGAGAGA